AGAGAAAGTTTATTGATGCTGCTGGTAAATGAAACCTACGTGCTAGGGGCCCTGTGAAGTGTCTGAATCTTTTTATTTTAGCTTTGGATAGAGTAGAAAATGGTTAAAGAATATGTAAAACCAACATTTCATATTCCTGATGTGTCTGTTGTACCATGTATTTGTATTAAAAAAGTGTCCTGCTTTCTTAGTATTGCTTCCTTTGTGTGAAATCCCTGATGTTCCTGCCAGTCCCTCTACGTTCCTATTTAAAAACTGACCACACTAGGCAGGAGAACACACAGTGGTCAGTTCTTTAGCTATGCTGGGAACGCAACCTACTGATGATCAGACCTATCCTGAAATGCCCCCTCTTTATTGGGATGATGAGTGTGCTGCTGTTTCTCCTCCCCCAGTTCTTATACAGTTGCAAGAAAAAGTATGTGAACCCCTTGGGATTACGTGGAGTTTTGCATGAATTGGGCATAAAATGTGCTCTGAACGTCATCTAAGTCACAACAATAGAAGAACACAGTCTGCCCAACATAATACTACACAAACATTAGATGTTGCCATGGTTTAATTGCACATAACATGTAAAAATTCAGTGCAGGGAGGAAAAAGTATGTGAACCTTTGGACTTAATAACTGGTTGACCCTCCTTTGGCACCAATAACCTCAACCAAACGTTTCCTGTAGTTGCAGATCAGACCTGCACAACGATCTGGAGTAATTTTGGACCACTCCTCTTCACAAAACTGTTTCAGTGTAGCAATATTCTTGGGATGTCTGGTGTGAATCGCTCTCTTAAGGTCATGCCACAGCATTTCAATCGGGTTGAGGTCAGGACTCTGACTGGGCCACTCCAGAAGGCGTATTCTGTGCTGTTGCAGCCATTGTTTTGTTGAATTACTTGTATGCTTTGGGTCATTGTCCTGTTGCATCACCCATCCTCTGCGGAGCTTCAGTTGGCGGACAGATGGTCATACGTTTTACTGCAAAATGTCTTGATAAACTCTGGAATTAATTTTCCCATCAATGACAACAATCCGTCCAGGCCCTGAGGCAGCAAAGCAGCCCCAAACCATGATGCTCCCTCCGCCATGTTTTACAGTGGGGATGAGGTTTTGATGTTCGTGTGCTGTGCCTTTTTTTCTCCACACATAGTGTTGTGTGTTCTTCCCAAACAACTCAATCTTGGTTTCATATGTCCACAGTATATTTTGCCAGTAGTGCTGTGGAACATCCAGGTGCTCTTTTGCAAACTTCAAACGTGCTGCAATATTCTTTTTGGACAGCAATGGCTTCTTCCGTGGTGTCCTCCCATGTACTCCATTCTTGTTTAATGTTTTCCTTATTGTAGATGTGTCAACAAAAATGTTAGCATGTGCCAGAGATTTCTGTAGGTATTTAGCTGACACTCTGGGATTCTTCTTTACCTCATGCAGCATTCTGCGCTGTGCTCTTGCAGTCATTTTTACAGAACGACCGCACCTAGGGAGAATAGCAACAGTGCTAAACTTTCTCCATTTGTAGACAGTCTGTCTTACCGTGGACACATGAACATCAAGGCTTTTGGAGATACTTTTGTAACCCTTTCCAGCTTCATGCAAGTCAACAATTCTTGATCGCAGTTCTTCTGAGAGCTCTTTTCTGCGAGGCATGGTTCACATCAGACAGTGCTTCTTGAAACCAGTAAACCCAAAACAGGTGTGTGTTTTTTAAGGGCAGGACAGCTGTCAGCAACACATCCAATATCATCACACTGATTGGAGTCAAGGTTGGCTCACTCCTGGCTCCAATTAGCTCTGGGAGAAGTCATTAAGCTAGGGCCTCACATACTTTTTCCTCCCTGCACTGTGAATGTTTACATGTTATGTGCAATTAAACCATGGCAACATCCAGTGTTTGTGCAGTATTATGTTGGGCAGACTGTGTTCTTCTATTGTTGTGACTTAGATGACGTTCAGAGCACATTTTATGCCCAATTCATGCAAAACTCCACGTAATCCCAAGGGGTTCACATACTTTTTCTTGCAACTGTACAGCTGAGAACAGAGGGAATGTGATCAGTTATAAAAAAAAGGGGGGGGGAGAAGGAAATATTTTGTATATCTGTATAAGTGTTTTACCTTTCATTTCTGTTTTAATCTGAATGCGTTGCTTTACAATTATCACATTTCTATTCTGTCTGTGTCCATTGTAGGAGATATTAAAAATGGAGAGTGATATCCCCTCTTAGACAGCTATCACCAGAGCAGGTTGAACCCATTTTCTGAACCCATTTTAACCCATTATCTGAATTCCTTGTTCTTGTGACAACCAAAACATTTCGCATTTCCCATTAAATTCTTAACTAGGTACAATCACCACCTGGACAAATGCTGAGACTCAATCTCCCAAATAGGCACATAGACTGCAATATAAATCAGACATATAGCCCATACAAAGTGAGACAATTTAATTCCCGGAATAGACTGATAATAACTCTATCAAACTCCTTCTTTAACCACTTGCCCTCCAGAGGATTTACCCCCCTTAATGACCACGCCTCTTTTTGCTACTCGGCACTGCACTAATTCAACTGATAATTGCACGGTCATGCAATGCTGCACTCAAATGAAATTTACGTCCTTTTTTTCACACAAATAGAGCTTTCTTTCGGTGTAATTTGATCACCTGTGCGCTTTTTATTTTTCACGCTATAAACAAAAATGCCAAAATTTTGAAGAAAAACAATATTTTTTACTTTCAGTTATAAAAAAAATATATAGTAAACTCAAAGTTGGTTATAAATTTAGGCCAAAATGTATTCTGCTCCATGTTTTTGGTAAAAAAAATCCCAAGAAGTGTATATTGATTGCTTTGTGTGGAAGTTATAGCGTCTACAAACTATGGTATAAATATTGCAATTTACGCCATTTTTCTGCTATACAGCACTGCGCTAGTTTAACGGACAATTGCGCGGTCATGCAATACGGTACATAAATGAAATTTACATCCTTTTATTCCCCACAAAATGAGCTTTCTTTCGGTGGTATTTGATCACCTGTGCGGTTTTTATTTTTTGCGCTATAAAAAAAAGGCTGACAATTTTGAGGAAAAAAAAACAATATTTTGGACTTTTTGCTATAAAACATGTCCAGTAAAAAAAAAATGCAAAAATCAAATTTAGTCATAAATTTCTGCCAAAATGCATTCTGCGACATGTCTTTGCTACAAAAAAAAAAACCAATACGTGTAAATTAATTGGTTTACGTGAAAGTTATAGCGTTTACAAATGGCGGGAAAGATACTGGGATTTTTAGGTTTTTTTTTTATACTAATAATGGCGGTGATCAGCGAATTATGGCGGCGATCAAGGACCTATGGCAGCGACCAGCGACTTATGGCGGGACTGCGGCGGACATTCTGACATTGGGGGGTACTGACTTGGGGTCACTGACATCCCCAAAAACACTAATACAGTGATCAGTGAAAAAAAAAAAAAAAACACTGACACTGTACTAATGGCAATGGGGAGGAAGGGGTTAACTTTATTTTGCAGGGAAGGGTTATAGGAGTGAGGGGAGTGTTTTACTAGGGGGCGGGGGGTGTGTACTGGGCGGGACAAGGCTGATCGAGAAAGAGAAACTGTTTTTTCTCGATCAGCTCATCCTCGAGCTGACAGGGAAGTGACAGACAGCACAGCTACTGCAGCTGTGCTGTCTGTCACTGTTTGCCACCGATCGCCGGGAAACAGCCGCTAAGGCCCGGCTGTGACCTGGCGACTCACATCTGCGGCGGTGATCGGCGGGACAGATAGGGCGCGCGCGCCCCCTATTTGTTTACAAAACACACGTTTTAAAACGTGGTTTTGCCTGCGAGTGCCGCCCTGCCGCCGTATATCTACAGTGGCTGGGCGGCAAGTGGTTAAAGGATCAGATTCAATTTGAAGATACCATTCTTTCTGATCTTCTGCCAAGATCTCAGGCACCGCCTTTGTGGAAATCTTTCCCCCTTCCCAAATTCTCCATTAGAATCTGCCACACTGTTTCCCCGTTCATGTTCAGTTTTTCTGCCTACATTCGCATGCTTAGTCTTCGACCTGAGCATACGAGGGTTCACACTCTGTCCACATTTGCTCTGCCCTTTGTGTTTTTGGCTGCCCACTTCTTTTGTGCTCGTGGACATATTCCTGCCCCTCCTTCAACTGGCTATGCCATTCAAACACCCTTGATTTCTTTATGGAGTGTTCACCATAAGCCTGTTGTAACAGAGCTAAAGTTTCACTCACACTTTTGCCAATTTTCACACCAAATTTGATGTTAATCTGCTGCTCACTCATTTTCAGGCAACAGCACAACGCACACATGAGTCATTTCTTAATTCTTTCTTCTACTACTCTGTAAATATTAAGTCAACTGGCCTGCAACCCAAGCGAGTGCAAGTTAGGGTATGTCAAAACACGCTTGAATACGAATGGCTGTGTGCTAAGCCGCGGGCATTCCGGAAATTAAATTGTCAAACCGTACATAAATAATGCATACCTAGTCCTACTAACCAACAGGTGGCAAGTACTATTCTGGTACATCAGATAGCTGGTCTACTGGGGTGACGTTTAAAGCTCAATAGCAGGATTCCAGGTTAGATGCACCCAATTAAGCTGAATGATCTGGTGGAGGTACTCACCCTTCTCCTCCTCTACTAGTAGAGACAGCTCCATCTAGAGCAGTGTTTCTCAACCTGATTTCAGTCAAGGCACCCTTTAAAATTATGGACAGTCCAGAGGCACCCTTTAAAAGTATGGACAGTTTTGTGGTACCCCATTCTAAAATGTGAAAAGCTATTCTAATAGTTTTATACAACGCAGCAACATCCACACATGTAGGACTCCCATTGATAGATGTGAGTAGTATTCCAGTGTTTCTCTTCTCCCTCAGTTTTACTCCATCACTGAGCTAATGTGACCCCAGCATTGATGGAGAAGGGCAGGGGAGGGTCAAACTAGGATGCTGTGCAGGCAACCAACATCCTCCTTATAAACTAATGATATCATTGGTTGTCAGGACGCCGGCGGCTAGAAGGTCATAATGGTGCACAATGAAAACCTGTGGCTATGTATAACTTAAGGCAGACTTGTTCCACCCACTGGCTTATATACAAGTATTGGGCAATTTTTAGACATTTTGCCAAGGCACCCCTGAAGAAACCTCAAGGCACCTGTCAGGGAACAAGAAGATCACCACAGCACATGAATATGCGCATGCGCAGGATCCCGACAAGGCATACAGGCAGGCGGGCACTAGGACCCAGGCGCACCTGTCACCAATGACGGAACAGGCAGGCACTAGGACCCAGGCGTGCCTGTCGGCGCTGGGCGGGCTATTTAAAGAGCACCTCGGTGCTCTTTCAGTGCTGACTGGTCTTCAGCTTCCCCCAGTGTCCTGCTTGTTTCCTGTATGATTCCTTTGGTGCTGACCCGGTTTGTTCCTGACCCGACTCTGATTACTCTCCTGCTCCTGGTTCCTGACTTTGGCTCTGCTCCTGACCTTGGCTTCTCCTACAGATTCTGTACCTCGCTGCCCGACTGTTGATGACCTTGGCTTCCTTTGACCCTGCTCCTGTTCTGTGTCCTGGCTACCTATTTGCTCTGCTGCACATCAGGCATTACCCAGAACCTGCTCTGTCTGCTACTACAGTATTCTAATCAGAGAATACACTGCCTTTCCAGGCCATCATCTGCAAGAGCCGCAAGCAACAACACTGGCGCTCTTGTCCCCCTGTTCCCTAGACTCCCTCTGTTCCAACCTCAGCGGGGTCAGGGCTAGTGACACAAGTGAGGCCGACCTCGTCAATTCAGTCTCCTATCAGGTACGTGACAGCACCCCAGGGTGCCTAGGCACCCTGGTTGAGAAATGAAGAAGAGAAGAAACGCCTCTAAGTGCAGTATAGATGTCAGGAATGGACTCGCCAATAGTGGTGGGACTCACCTGCCTTGTGGGTTGCAGTACCAGGACTGGCCAGCGGGTGCTCTCAGCAACCAGAGGCTCACTTCTGCAGTCAGCCAAAACACCTGAGGCTGATTGCAGGAGGTGCATATAAGGAATGGCCAGACTTGCAATCAGGGCCTTGGTGTATGTTTCCCAAGAGCCCCTGTACCTGCATCCTGTCTGCTTCCTGTCTGATCATGCTTGATCCCTGACTCTGATTGAACTCCGCCTGTCCTGACCTCTGCTATTCCTGACCACTCTCCAGTCTGCTCCTTTGGTACCTTGTCTGCCTGATTGTTCCTGACCCGGCCCATCTGACTATGCTCTGCCTGCTCCTTTGTACCTTGCCTGCCCATTTGCTACCGACCCGGCCTGCCCGACTATGCTTAGTATTGTTCTTTCGTTATCTGTTGGGGGTTTGGGTTTGGTTTGTTTGCACTGTGTTTATGTTTAGTCTTGCACTGCGTTTATGTATTGTTTAGTCTTAAATTATATTGTTTATACTATATCTGAAGCCTGTGTTTCCCTGTGTCAGTCCACACACCTCTGGTCATACCCGGAGCCCTGACAATAGACAACTGTAATGGGTAACAAAAGTAGAACAACTCCCATGTATCATGTGTAAAACAGGCTCGTGTAATGCAGGCTCATGAAGATAGGAGAACGGCTGTGTCCAAGCTATGACAGTCGCATCTGCGCTCAGGGGATCGTGGTTGTAGGAGAAAAGCCGTCCGGTATCTGGAGCCTCCTAAAGATGGTGTCTGGAACTCACCTTGAGGCGCTACGTCAGCGTGATGACATACATGGACCAGAATGCTTAGCGACGCGTTTCAGAGAATGTGCTAGACCTCTAAGGGCAGAAGCGCGCTCCCTTATTGAGAAAGACTGATCTAGAGCTTCACTGAGTAGGAGCAGCCAAGAAGTGCAGAGCTAGTGCTGGGCTTTCTTATCAGACAGTATCGCCTACACTACACATACTGAAGCCTAGAATCACCCTATTTTAATATTGTATATTTATAAAGAAGGATTTAATGCACATGATAAGTAATGCTAAATATTTTTCAACATAGCAAAATTTTAAATACAAATGGAAAAAACAACACTAAAGCTTCCCTTTAAACACCAAAGAATAACCAAGATCATAAACTTAACGAAGGTCATAAACTGTGTTTAGTGACATCCAAACACATAGGGTTAATTTTATGAGCCAATAGGTTTTAATATCATCACCATTAACCACTAATGTTATAAATGAATAGCCAAGGATGGTGTTAGAATTCTGATAAGAAAAGAGCTGAAAATATAAAAAACACTATATAAGACTGAGTCATAGGAAAAGGTAAAAGATCATTCTGTAGTAAATGTAATAAAGCTGTGTGACTGTGTCATTACGCAAACACCAAACAGTCTTAATCTGCAAAAACATTTCCTAAGGGTGTTAGTTTTAGAATCCTACTACCAGGGGCGGACTGACAACTCATGGGGCCCCCCGGGCAAGAGCGGATCATGGGGCCCCTGTGTCCTGGCCCACACTCAAATAAAAGCCTATAAAAAGGTACCAGGGGCATTTCATGGGGCCCCCTACTGACTCCGGGCCCTCGGGCAGTGCCCGAGTGCTCGAATGGTCAGTCCGCCCCTGCCTACTACTTAAAGGATAATTTCAGGAAGACTTATACAGCAACATAAGAGGAAGTAATTCCAATTTTCATGTTAACTAATAACTTTAGTAGAGCTAAACTTTGTCACTAAAATCTCACTAAAATGTCACTAAAATATCAAATTTTTTTTTAATGATCTCTGTTTATTGTTATAAAACAAAATATAGTTACACAAACAGTACAGATATTTGAGGACAGAGACAACAATACAATTACAAAGTTAGAAGTTCTGTGTCAATAAGCCCGAGCACCATTCCAGCAACTGCCCACTGCTATGGGCCGCAGGGATAGGTGCCATTAGTATCTGCAAGCCCAGCGGTTGTGCAGGAGCTACGTCTCTACACACGATCACTGGGCTCTGAATGAGCAACCAAGTTGTAACTGGATATAGGCCATTCGAAAAAGTATGACATAAGCATTGTCCCCTGTCCCAGCATGAAATTAATGTACAAATCACAGACATAGAAAAAAATTTGCTCAGAACAACCCACATCCTCTTTTTCTCAGGTTCCCTGACAGTGCTCTTCGCTCCTCACAAGACCTCCTACTTTCCAGCTCCCTGGTCTCCTCCTCCCATGCCCGACTACAGGACTTCTCCAGGACTTCCCCCGTCCTCTGGAACTCACTACCCCAATCCATCAGACTGTCACCTACCCTCAGGGGCGGAGTGACAACTCATGGGGCCCCCGGGCAATAGGGGATCATGGGGCCCCTGTATCCTTGCCCACACTCAAATCACACCCAAAAAAGCCTATGCAAGGTACCACGGGCATCTCATGGGGCCCCCTACTGACCCCGGGCCCTCGGGCAGTGCCCGAGTTCCCAAATGGTCAGTCTGCCCCTGCCTACCCTCTTCACCTTTAGGCGCACCCTGAAAACCCATCTCTTCAGGTAAGCCTACCCCACCCTCACCTAACAGCCGATCTCCTCCACTCCTCCTACCACTCCATCCCCCCACAGCCACTTCCTTATGTACCACTATTCCCTCCCTCCTAGATTGTAAGCTCGAAAGAGCAGGGCCCTCGAACCCCTCATGTATTGTTTTGTTACTGTATTTTCTCATGTATTGTCCCCCACTATATTGTACAGCGCTGATCAAACTTTTTGGCGCTATATAAATACTGTATAATAATAATAATAATGTGGCTGGAGCCATTAAAACAAAACCATTATAAGAAGAGGAAAAGCAATGATCACTGGGTATTCGCAGGCTAAGGATGGGATGAGCATGCAAGTTACATATCAAAAGGATCAAGAACCATAGGTCTATACATATACAACCAATATGAAACTAAATACCTGGTTGGTCAAGTATCTCCAAACATTTCTGATGTCACCAAAAGGCAACCCATAAGGAATTCCCCGGTAGTAGTAGCGCTCAGGAGTCAGTGCTAACTGGACTATCCAGTTCTACAGAGTAGTACCTCCAGGCAGACCATATGTTGTGGAATCTGTCAAGGGTATTGTTAATTGTGTGGACTCAGTGCTCAGCTTCCATTATCTTATCCACTTCCCCCTTCAATTCTTTAACATGAAACAAAGAGGCTGCTTCAAAAATTTCAGTATAAGGCTCTTGGCCGCATTCAGAAGATGTGGGGTAACAGTATGTTTATATGATTTAAGAGAAGAGGGAGTAGAGTTTAAAAGACAGTGGAGGGGAGTGAGCTGCATTGGTTTAAAAGTGGTCCTGTGGATCCAGGGCAGGATATCCTTCCAGAAATTTTGGGGCAATGCCACGCAAATATGCATAAAAGTGCCTTCCTGCGTGGAGCCTCTCCAGCAATTTCCATCAGCTCCCGGGAAGATATTAGCTAGGCGAGAAGACGTCCTGTACCAATGGGATAGAAATTTGTAACATACTTCCTGGGTCTTAGAGCTAATCGAGGATACATGAGATAAGTTAACATTTTTCTGTATCTGGTGTGGTGTGAAGGCTATCCCTAATTCCGTTTCCCATTCCCGTATGAAGTAAGGAATGGTCTGAGAGTGAAGAGCCAACAGGCCTTAATAAATCTGGGAAAGTAGGTGTTTGAGATCCCCAAATTTTACAAATTTCCCAAAGGGTTTGGCATATCCATACGGGTGTGCTTTAGGAGCCAACTTCCAAAAGAAGCCCAGAGAGTTGCCTATGACACCAGAAGTCCATGAGGAATGCACCATAAGAGTACCGCAGCTTGCAAGGGGGAGGAGGCTCCCCCCAGTGGGCCAATTTCAGACAGGTGGTGTCTCTATCTTTACCCCAAGTCCAAAAATGGAAATATCTCCCCAGGGAAGAACCATGGGAAGGCTCCATGGTGTTAGAGGTGAAATTGGAGGAGAAAGTTCCCCCCTTCTATTAACCAGGTCCCAAACTCTCAGGGTATTCAATAATATAAGTGGAGTCGTCCATTCTGGAGAAACCCCTGGCCTCAGATAGTATCCAGGGTCCCTCCAGCCAGATTCCTACTAGCCACATACAGTATATATGTGCCTACATAGGGCAATGTGTGCAAATTCCAGGTGAAGGCAAAAATTGGAGCGAAGAGTTGTGACATTAATTCGGGATCGTGACTGGGAGAATTTTGGATTTTCCATAATTGATACTAAAACTGACCATACCTGTAGAATTCAGACATTAATATCGTAGAGAGGTGGTGAGTGGCTGGATACATAAAATAGGATGTAAGCAACGTATGCTTAAGATAATATGATCTACGTTTTGGTCCAATAAGCACTCCCTGAATGTCATTATTTTGCAAATTTTCCATAATAGGGGATCTAGTACTAAGGCGAACAGAGAAGTGGGGACAGTAGGCACCCTGATCCTAGTCCCATTGCAAATACTCAGTGGGGTAAAAGAGTGTCACCATTTACTTTCTCCTGAAGCTTCAGGGTCATTGTAAAGCAGCAAAATCCAACCCATCATCTTGCCCCCCTAAGCTTAAGTTGAGCAGGGTCTCCTCCAAGAACTATCGATCCACCCTGTCAAAAGTTTTCTCAGCATCTATTGACAGGAGTAAATAAGGGACTTGAGTATATACCCCAGACCATAGCAGGTCCAGTGAATGACACCTTATTTGTATCAGGGTGGCTGATCGTATGGAGGAGGTACCTAAAGTCTGGAAGCATATCAAACTTAGAGAGGATTTTAGTGTCCGAGTTCAGCTAAAAAAACAGGAAGATAATTCTGACAAGGGGATGTCTGGTGCACCTTCCAGACATAGGCGCCCGGACCCCCCCATAAACTGTAAATTACATTGTGATCTCCAGAGAATGGAGAATGGCCTACTTGGAGGAAGCAGTCAGCCACACATGGAGGGGCAGCAGCCCTACCCGGGCCCGTAGTGAATTATATACAT